TGCTCTTTTGTTGTTTTGTATGTATTTATCCCCTAGCCAGCTACTGTTTTGTGTTCCCCCCATGGACTGTTCCTCCGGACCGTGGCTCCACTCTCCCCTCCCAGGCAGGTCAATGCTCAGTCGCCTATCTGTTCCATTATTGCCTTCATCTCTCTGTCTCTACCTTCAGTAGCCACCATCACCACCGACCAGCCCAGGAGTGACCCAGCCTACGCAGCTTGGCCCAGCTCTCCATCTCCTCGCCTCCTGCTGTTGGTCAAACACCCGGCTACTACTCATCGACAGGATTACGCACTATTTCCCTCTGTGTATTGTTACTCTCATCATCACTGTACATAATAAATCACTGCTTGCACCGAAGTTGGCTACCTGGGTCTGCCTCTTTCTCGTTCGCTCACTGACTGGTGCGAACGGCACATAACAGAACGAACGGCACATAACATTTAGTTTTAATTAGCAAATATTGGCTTGTTACCTTGTTGTACTGGCTCTACTGGGTGATTTTAAATAGAATCAGCGTGTTAGCGTGTCACTTTGAGCATATGTTTATAAATATTTTTGTGTGATCTAAGTGATTTTTATTGAGTCACACATGAAGTGTAGTTGTTTGCTTTCTCACTTCTGCCTTGTGTAGAGTGTAGTTAAGGTGAAAAGCCATACCGAGTGGGCACCTGCTAAATTCAGGTTGCTTTTTTCAGAAAACCGTTGTTAAGTGTATCCTCTTAATGTCCTTCTTCTTCTCTTCTTTCTCCCTCTCTTCATCTCTTGGTTAATCACATTTCCATTTCCATCCTCTGTTCTTCTATTTATGTTCTTTTTTTGTGCCTCTATACCACCTTACTTCACTGTTTCTTTCTATATCATTTCTCCTTCGCACACCCCTATTCCATGTCCACTCCCTTTCACAGCACAAACGCCATGCCCAGACAACAACCAAGTATGTGGAGCTGATCATTGTAGCTGACAACAGAGAGGTAAGCAAAGGTCACACAGTCTCAGCTGCTCCACCCTACCACTTAGTCCCACAGGAAAGGAGCTCAGAGGTCACATCCTTTATTGCCCTTGCATCTACTTGAGATGTAAATAAGTTGGCTCCACCGCTGCCCTGATGTGTTTGTGTACTCATCCATTTCTCTGACCAGCTCCAGCTGCATCGCTCTGCATATATCATCTAAGCATTTCACTCACAAATGAGACTATTCCATTATGTGTGCTTTGAACTATCTCAAATCTCAGACTTAAGACCTTAAAAAGAACTAAGAGAAGAAAGAGTTTCTTGTCACAAAACATATAGATCAATGTCACATACTTTAGAGCCACATAGACGGAATAAATGCTGGATATAAGACAAGGTTGCTGAGGTTATCTCTTTAGCCTAAGCTCATCTGACGAGCTCTCTGATGATAGCAGCTACAGCAGAAGCACCAGGGGAATTAACATTACAGCTACTGTAGCACAGCTCCAGGAGCCCCATGAGGATATCTCTAGAGCTGACACGATGTTAAAATGCCCATTAAAAACACTAATCAACATTCAAGAGTTTGGATCACCTCTTTCTCTCCTTGTTTAATTCTGTGTGATTGTGTTGTCCAGTTCCAGAAGCAAGGCAAGGACTTAGAGAAGGTAAAGCAGCGACTGGCTGAGATCGCCAATTATGTGGACAAGGTAACAATCGAATCAATAGTATTGGAATGCACTTTATTAGAGCTCACATTGAGCCTGGTGTGAATTACTCAACCTGTGAGCAAAGGCTGATTAAATGCATGATCAGTTCTATAATGCAAATGATAACTGTTGTGAAGGCTGCTGTAATAAAATGTACCTTTGGATGCGGTTTGAATAAAACCAATGTAAAATATTATGTATTTATATGGAATTGTGTATGTTGAATAATGTTTAAGAGTGTCTTTAGAGCTCCTTGTCATTTTAAACAGTTATGAATAGCATTTGTGTTTGAATAAAACATAAGTGACAAGAGTAACTCTCTCTATTGTGCCCCTCCTCGTCTCAACCCTCAGTTCTATAGGGCTCTAAATATCCGAGTGGCTCTGGTGGGCTTGGAGGTGTGGAGTGATGTGGACAAGTGTCCTGTCACCCAGGATCCCTTCACCACCTTGCATGAATTCCTAGACTGGAGGAAGGTCAAGCTGCTGCCTCAGAAGCCACATGACAATGCCCAGCTAATCAGGTGCAGTAGATGTCTTTTTGTGGCATCCACTGTTTGTAAAGTATGGTTTTATTCCAGAATTACAGAGAACACAAAATTACAGGTAATTATATTGTAGTTTTTGGAGTGGTCTTTGATCTGGTCTTTTTTATTTATTCCAAGCATAATCAAATACCCTGTTCCCGCATTGTGAATTTTTCCCCACCAAAATAAAATGTATTTCCTACCTCATAAATCATTTGCAAACAATGAGACAAGACATTGAGATCTATCAACGGGTATTCTCACCTTTCTTGTGGTAGAAGATAACAAAATGATGTGGTTGAATACTGAATGGTGACAGTGAAATGCTAACAAAATAATCATTTAAATGGCGACCGAAAAAGCATTAGTCTATCTTAACATGACAATCAAACAGATTGTGACAGAAAAGTTTGCATCTGCTAAAAATATGCATTACAACCCCCTGCAGTCATCAAGACGTTACTCTACAAAGCCAGGAAATGGTCAAAAACTCCCCTAGAGACATTTGACATGTAAAGGTATACTTTGTTGATGATGCGATGACCTCTGTTTTCTCCACTAGTGGGGTCTATTTCCAGGGCACCACGATCGGTATGGCGCCCATCATGAGTATGTGCACAGCAGAGCAGTCAGGAGGAATTGTCATGGTACGTAATCCTATGCGCTGCTACAGAGTGTAATCGTACTCAAAAACATGCTCAAACAGCTGCAAGACTAGTCCTACTCTTTTCTTCTTCCTCTTCCTGCCCTCTGCTCTTTGCCTTGTTCTCCACCTCATTCCTATCTGAAATAATATTTTCATACTTCTCCCCTGAGTCTCTTCTGTAAAGGTTGAGCTAAGGATTCTGAAGTTGATATTACCTTGTATCAACTTCAGGGTGCACACATCATGGAGTCTTTTTTCTAGGAAAGCCAAGCGGAGGCTATGCATATTACCCTGCACTTTGTGCTGACAAATCAAAGCAAGTATTGATTACACGAGTGGAAGCCTTTGCTTCTTAATGTGGTGCAACAAATGAATGAATTTAAGGCTGCAATACACTGAATGAAAACAGGGAGCATATGGTCACCCAGGACTGCCACCCTATACTATGCACAGGTCATGTTGTATTAGCACAAGTCATGCTATGTCGTTACACCCTCTGGCTGTGAGTGGCTGTTTGTCTTGGGGTCTGGCAGGCTGGTGCTAAGGTTTAGACTTGTCCCCAGATGCTCCTTCACTCTTGTCCTCCCAGATGGTAAAGTGGGGACTTGGTCTTTATGATAGAGCTCTACATAAACACATCTGGTCAGGGACATAAAGGATTGGTCTCCAACCTCTTCTGCCTGGGGGCAAATCACCATCCTCATGTCCATCTTGCCTCCTTTCATTTACAGAGTTCATTTGAATGCCTTAGTCAACTTCTCCTAATGGTCCCATTGTTCTTTTTCTAGGCAGTTACATCTTAAACATCCATACTCAGACCATCTGGAATCTCCATTTACCAACCCCTAATGTTACATTCATTTCATTAGTGCAGTGAAACAGAACAGAGACTGGCATTTTGGTGCCCTTTTGAGCACTTCAGCCTCATCAGTTGCTAAAGGAGTCTGGGTTTTTAAGGGAAACAGAATGAGAGGAGGGTTTTTGCAGTTTTTTACAGCAAGTGCTGACAGCTGATGACCGTTACTTTCAATAGCCCCCATCAGAGCAGTTCATGGGTTTGAGCTGGGCTTGCACAGCACTACTGAATAATGCGCAGTGACTGAACACTCCAGAGGCAAGGTGCTCTGAAGCACAGCTCTGCATCCATGAAAAGCTGATAGCTGCTGCTGCTGCTACATTATTTATCCGGCCTCTTCGTGTGTCCACACACCTTGCAGGAAGTTGCTGCACCTCAGCCAATAGCAACTTTCACTCTGTGTGTCACGCTAGCTTCATCTTCACATTCCTCTCTGTCAACCTCTTTGCTAATTGTGCTCAGAGGAGCTTCATGTCTTTATTTGTGAGGATGAAGCAGCACATCTGGCTCTGTCAAGGTTTGCCAAGGAAGCTGAAGGTGACAGCCTGCAGTCTGCTGTTTCATTTCTCATGTCAGTGCCACACCGTCGAGCAGAGGAAGTGCTTTGATAAACACACATCCAGCAGCACTGTTTGTAATCTTGGTAATATGCAATTGCACTCACTTGTTTTGGGTAATGTTTCTCCAGTGGGTCCTGTGGGAAACAACAATTTGGCTAGGATAAAATTTTTTATTATTTGCTATTTTCATCTGAATACGCAATCAGAAATTTCTGGTTTAATTAGTTATTGTTTGCTTCACAGAATGGTGAACTGAACAAATTGTATTATGGGACGTTGCTTGTAGCATCATTTCGTGCCAGGAATTATATTTAAGCTTGACTCACAAAGTAAAAAGGTTTTAGACTAAATAGATTAATCAACAGATGAAATGCTGAAATTAAATGGCATGGTTGATCTTTTTTTGTAGGACCATTCAGACAACCCCCTGGGCGCTGCTGTCACTCTGGCCCACGAGCTCGGACACAACTTTGGAATGAACCACGATACGCCAGAAAGGGGGTGTGGCTGCAGGGTGACAGTGGACCGTGGAGGGTGCATCATGACTCCCTCCACTGGGTAAGTCACAGCATCCATCTTGACAATTAAGAATCAAATTAGCTACAAGACAGCTGACTCCTTTTTCCACTTTATCGCAGCTAGTTGGCTTCTCTTTACCCTGAGGACATATGTTTCATTCACTGTTTCAGTGCACTCCATTTTGGTTTTCAAATGATGTCCAACTCCAGCACCATCTGAAATGCATCATCATGATGTCAAGCCACTGTTATCATTAAATTAATTTGGTTACTTATTAAATAGAGCCAGAGTCTTACACAAAGCCCAGATTGTGATCACACAGCATTATTCCACGTGCTCTCCATTTGTAATTTATTATTTGTCAAACACTAAGTAAATTATTCAGTTGCTATTTAGTTTATGGTGCATTCAACAGCTGTGCTAATGCCCTGGAGCAATATAACTCATTTTGAATGGAAATACAAGGGCCCAAACACCTCAGTTTAACTTATACTGACACAGTGCAGTTGATCTCCATTAGATTAAAGAAGACAGTGCAGAAAGTGTGTATTGCACCTGAAGGACATAAGACATGTTCTGTAACCTGTGGCTGTGATGTTACACTGAATGTATTGTACAAACAAACAAAAGTCTACACACTTGTATCTAACAACATATCAAGACAGAGGTGGAGCTCAGAAATAATTCCTCACAATAGACTGGATGTCTAACATCTTGTAGTAACCTGAGCAGATGGACAATGTAGTGGTATCAGCTCCAGCCAAGGCCTAGTGGTCTGTGGGAGCGGACTGATGTTTATGCTGGAAACAACCCTCTGTATTTGGTTTGGCCAAGATCCATGACAAACAGGGTAATACCATTCTTGAATATAGACTTGTAAAAACAACACCGCAGTAAGATGTAGATTTATATTTAACCTTGATTTAGGGTGTCCCTCGTCAAGGACTTAGTCCAAAAATGGCAACTGCATGAACAAGAATAGGCAATTTTTGTTGAAGGAGAAATAAAATTGTTTTTCCATCTCTCTCCTCCTCTCTCTCGCTCCTTTTCTTACTTATTCACAGCCAGTTAGATTGATGCTTTTCTTTGACATACATGCAACTTTAATGTTAGAAAATCTCTCTGCAGCTTCAAATAAATAGTTAAATATCTTTGGAAACTATTTTATAGTTTTGTTTGTAGGAAAATGCCTAAACCTGAAGTTATACGTAGCAGAGACAAGCCTCTTTGAAGGTGAAAAAATAGACCAGAGAACTGTGAGAAATAAAATAATATAAAATAAAATAATGCATGAATAGTTAGTTTTTTGTTCTACTTTCCACAGACAGTGTGTTTCATTCCAGCTAAAAAAGAAAGAAATGATCTAGTCTTTAGCTTTAAAATAATTCCCTCTACACCTATTTCATCCAGACTAAGGGAGCAACACATTTAAATAAGAACTTTAGGAACTCTACATTTCTGCTTCCTCAGTTAAATCCAGGTCAGCCCCATACTATACACTCTGCCTGAGGTGGTACTATATCTCCCATGGTTCAGCTCACAGAACCATGCTTTAAAACACAATGTGGCCCAATACAAGCCTTGCTGCAATCATCTGAGCATTGTAACATTGACTGCCTTTATTTTGGCAGGCAGTCAGCTCTTTTCAGCACATAATAAGATTATATACAATATGCACCTGTTCTGGCAAAACTCACCTGCACTCAGTCGAGGAGTACCTGTTTTGTTTTTGCTGTTTTGATCGACATTTTAGGAATTACTTCATTGTCACTAATATGCCACAGGCAGATAACCCACCAAGCTCTACTGTCTTTGCTGTGGCTCCAGGAATTGAGCAGAGGTAATGAGATTCAGTTCATCCTTGTTATACAGGAGTAGGAGGGTCCAGGGTAGGTGCTGTAGTGGGGGGGGGGGGGGGGCACGCACAACCCAGATTTCGTGCCAGGTGTATATCTGCACAGAGCACTGCTTGTTTCCAACTCACATTGGTCACGGTCAATTGTCACTTCCCCTCTCCATCCTTCTCTCTATCCCCCTATTAGCTTTAAATGAGAACAGGCTGGTGTCTCTCATCCTTTGAGATTATATCTCTTTAAAACTCACAGGGATAAGCACACACACACACACCCACAGTAACTGAGCTGCTTCTGACTAAACCACTGACTGAAGAAAAGATACATCTGTGAACAAACAATACAAGAGAAAACCATTTCTCAGAAAATAAAATAGGCTCCACAGGCTTCTGTGGCCTTGTTGTACCCCCTTTCTAGATTTGATAGTCTACTTTAAGACTTATTACTATTGTTCAGACTGTTTACTTGTTTAGTTCTTTCATCAGAAGGTTTTTCTGATCATCACTAGTGTTTCTGATTATCAACATTAGCGGGTAACAAGATTTGTTCTTGTTTGAGGTATTCTGAGAAAATGGCCTAAAATATACAGGCAGACTGTGAAATGTGAGCATGACCCATTATTAGGCAAATCACTGAGAACTCTCTAAATGATTTACCAGTTTTACATGGTTTATCGTGTTATGGAACTGGTTTCTGGTGTAAGCAGATGATGCTATCATACTGGATCTGGTAGAACTATTTCCTCAATTCTACTATTTCTCCAGCAGTTGAAAATTTGCGTTTTGGGTAACACTGACATACAGTATTTACAGTAATGTTGATTAATATGCATTGTCACTGAAATTAATTTTATTTCCATTTTTATCTGTTTATCGCTGGGGAGGGCAAAAATATAGAGACACCTCTAAATATAATGCAGTTCAGTACAACACCACCTTTAACTATGACCTTAATAGTAAACACATTATTGAGTTTATACATTTATGACAGAAACTGAAACACTGAGCTTCATAAACACACATGCTAAGGTGAAAGTGTGGCATTGAAGTGCATACAATTGTACAGGTGTACCTAATAAAGTGGTTGGTGAATGTATGGCTCCATAACATATGCTTACAGTCATTTACCATCTAAGTGAGTCAGACTTAGATGGCAAGTCATGTGTCTGGTCCTGAGTAAGATTAAGGAACAGGGTTACCATCAGACAGAGATCATAAAATAATCAGGAATCACAGAAAATGAGTCAGAGTCCAAGTCATGCCACTGAACGTGACTCGTGTGCTGTCGAAGAACAGGTGCTCTCTAGTATGCCCTGTTTAATTGGGTCCATAGGGAAATCGGTGTGAAAATGCTCTTCAGTGTCTACAATGTAGGTCAGACTGCCAGGCACAAAAGGCCACAGCAGATCATGTCACCTAATGTCATCACCCAGAGCTCAGGTTCTACAGCCACAAATGAGGCCTTAAAATTAATATTCACCGTGTAGTGCAGCAGGTATGAGATATCTATCAGTGTCACAGGTGTCAGTCAGGTTTGAATGAGCTTTTATTCCTGCTAGAGGATCAAGGTCCAAAACTATGATAACAGAATGAAGTTAGGGTCACAATCAATACTGCACATTTCGTAGTTTCCCTAAATTGTTTTCAGGGATGGTGGGAAATGTTTTGGCAGAGGCATCCCTAGAAAGGCCACCCGATCTGATTCATAGCCTGATCAGTGTTTTATGGCTGAACAGATATGACATAAACTGTCTGTGCAGGAGATGCTGCATGGCCCTCTGGGTGTCGTCTGTCACCTGACAGACAGACAGGAAGGAGAGAATCCTGCTTAGCTAAATTTGGGTTAAAGGGCTCTGTTTATTTTTATGTGATACTTTGCCTTAATAGCAGCGCAGTTGCTGGTAAAATAAGGTTTGGATTTCTGATCACAGTCTGCAGCAGTCGTATACAAACAGGACCCTAATATGCTGGTTGTGCAACATTTCTACAAGAGATGTCAATTTTTTCTTTACTGAGGGCAGATTGTACTGAGAGCTTTCAATCAGTCGAATGTAGTATCCTTAATTTTATTTTAATTTGAGTTTATTTAGTCCTGTGCCTGGAAAGGTTTTTTTGTATGTACGAGCTCTACATTTGCTGAATTTTGTTACTTAACTGAACTTGAGTAACATCGAGCAAAGTAGGATGTATAAAGCAGCACAAATTTGTTGAGATCAAATAATTTAGTTGCTTTTGTGGATCTCTGGATCCAGTAATATTTGTATACAAATTTTAAAAAGATTCACAAGGTAGGTCAGACAAACAGCAGGCCAGTGGAAAGCAGAGACAGAGCAAAAGAGAGTTGAAATGTGTGTAGTTTCGGTTGTGAACTATTCCGTTTAATTTATTGTTTATATTTTTTCTGACGTCGTCTTGTCTACAAAAATGGGGGTTACCTGCCACACTTCATCTACCCCCTTATCAAAAGCCTCTAGCTCTGTAGTGTTATCACAGTGTGGGGCAGAACACAGAGGCCTGTAATAGATCTGGGAATCATTCTTTATCACCAGACCTCCCAGATCCATTAAAGCGTTGTCTGGCTGTTGTTGCAGCTTAGTCGCCATGATTGCTTTGTACAATCTTATCAACATCAACTGCAGTACCTCTGACGCTTAGGGGCCAACTGTCAAGCGCTGACTATATAATGCTACAACCAGGACAGGTTTGAGATAAACAAAAGAACACAGAACAGAGAAGAATTTGAGCCCATAATGGAACAGGAGCACAACCAGGTGGAACACAATTCAGTATTATAAGAGAGAACAAAGAGCGGTCACAGTCATGCATGAACACTGCTGTGAAGCCAGACCAGGATGAGAAGAAGCCTGAAGACCACAAAGTTATACTGGGGCTTTTCATTTGAGGTGGTGGCCCAGAAGCCCATGGGATGAGTGGTTGTCTAGAGCGTGTTTAATTTGTCATGAGCCCCAGATGTGCGCACCATGATTGGCCCTGACACTGCTTTTCTAGCCCTGGGGAGTGCAGCTGCTAAATGCCATCCAGTGTAATTCATCGGTCCCTCTGCCTTTTCACAGCCATTATTCCTCCTCCGATCCCCAGAGCCACGGTACACCAATTATTTTTGCATTGCTTCTCATAAAGAACAGCTGGATCCTGAGTCACTTGCATATCTCAGAGTAGCAAAAAAAAAAAAAAAGTCAGTGTTTCTCATGCATTGCATGTGGTAAATGAAAAGCAGGGCTGACTTCATGAAAATTGAATGAATGCAGCAAAGGAGTGGGTGCAACTTGAGCAAGTAATTCTGGCTCGGGCTTTGGAGGCAAAGAGGAAATCAACAACAGCCGGTGCTAAGGAAGTGGACTGCCTGATGAACAGTAGCCTTGACAGCTGTTCATCATAGCAGGGTCCCATGAGGTAGTCAGAGAGGAGGAGGCGGGAACGGGGGCACAATTATGGCTCTTACTGCAACTTTCCTTATTGTTCTTTCCTTCTACCTTTCATTACAAATCACTGTGATATTTTGCTTTAATACAGAATGTCTAGACATCTGCTTTGAGGAGCCCGATTTTCCCCTAACACAACCTGTGGCTAGTGCTGACATTAGAGCGACCCAGGCCGTGTACTGGGTGAGAGGTCAGCAGCAAGATTTGATGTAAGGCACCTCCATGCATGAAGGCAAGCCAACTGTCATGATATACTGTATGTAGAGCCATATTAGATGTGAAACCCAATCAAAGAAAAGCAAACTTTGAATCAGTTGTCAACATTTAGCTAAATGGAAATACAGTACCTCCTTCTTGGAAATGCAAAACACAAAAGAGAAGTGTTTATGTTACAGCTTCAATCAGTACAGCTAACAAGTCCGATAAGACCCATCTTAATAACTGAAAATGATTTAACAACTCCTACACATTAAACTCATATACTGCTCATGTAAACACCTCAGTGAGCTCCATTTATCAGCTGCCAAGTACCCCAGCAGCTCAGGTTACATATGAATGGGCCCTTATTGTGCACACGCTCCTGTTGAAAAATATGTGTGTATTACCATAACGCTACAACCAGGACATGTTCACTGTCCTTTCCACACACCACTCACTGCTATGACAGGATGAGTCTCCCCAACCAGTGCCAAGCAAAAAAAATCACATCTCATTTGAGCCCACGGGTCCAAACAGGCGAGTGGGTGGTAGGTATGACTGATGACATACTTCACAACATGCATTTCAAAAAGTCAAGGGCTCTTCACCCTTTCACAGAGCCTGTTAAAAGAAATGTTTTCGCATTTAAGTTGACCTGCATCTCCCACCTACTGTCATACATGCACTCATCTATGTGTACAAAGACCTGATCAGATGTGAATATTACATACAGATTTGTCCATTCTTGCTTTGTTCTGCTGAATTTTATGGTGTGAGTGTATAACAAAAAACTCATGTTTATCAAGAGCCACATACTGTATGGAACAAAATACAATATGCACATATTCATGCATATTTACACACACACGCACACGCACACACACACACACACACACACACACACACACACACACACACAGTCATCTGAGGCACTATATTATCACATAAAAGCCTAAAAAGCCACATGAGCTCTGTAACAAAGCTCTTAGCAGACAGAGCCCTGGGCTGTGTAGGCTGTGTACTTTCCCCAGAGAGCAGACCACCCTCTCTGTCCATGCCACAAAAAACCAATATTAAAATCACACCATTCCCTGTTTCTCCCACAGTTATGAGCGTTGCAAGTCTTGCTGAAAAAGCAGTTTTTGGTTGGAGTTTGTATGAATCCCTGTCATAAAATATGTCTTTTCAGATCTCCCTCTCTCTGTGGAGGGGGAAGTCAGTGGGGCCCTGTGCTGTTCACATGCTGATGAAGCTCTGGAGAGGCTGCTAAGCTCTAGTGCTTAATTGATTTTTTGATTAGCAGCAATTTGCACTGATTACATCAGACTGAAGAGGCCCCTTGTGGGGGACCTCAATCTTCCTCCTGTCTTTTTCTTTGTGTCACTCACAAAATATGTTTTTTTCACTCACAGGTATCCATTCCCCACGGTGTTCAGCAGCTGCAGCAAAAAGGACCTGACAGCAAGCTTTGAAAAAGGCGTCGGGATGTGTCTGTTTAATATGCCTGAGGTCAAAGTGCTCTATGGTGGACAAAAATGTGGCAACGGCTATGTGGAAGAGGGAGAGGAGTGTGACTGTGGAGAACTGGAGGTGAGCGTACCGCTGGTCAACAAAGGTAGTAAACAAAGTGTTTTTATTTTCCGACCATTGTTGTTTTATGCCCCTTCTGCCAAAATTGAAGTCTTTTTCTTAACTGGTACTCATAAATTATTGCTTTATATCTTTCCCACATTTTAGAAATGAAATAAGCAGCAGTGCCAATAGGGGCTTTTGTACTGTAGCTTTCCTGACTGAAGCATGGCACAAACCAACATTTCCCCAAATAAAAACAAATACTTCAACTTGGTTTGAAAAGCTAACGGCACAGTGTTTTGCAAACACAGACTTCAGAAATTGAGCCTGGAGACATTAATGTGAATTTATTCATTCTGTGCACTTGAGGGGTGTTTGGAAGTATGGTTGTCTGATCATGATAAAATTCACTGAGAGGAAACATCACTGAGAGCTTCACCTTGTCAGCTGGTGAATTATTGAAATGAATCTGCATTGACATGCACATATGTAATGGTGGCACACATTGCTTGCCGGCTTAGGCTGGAAGATGATTAAGCAGTGAATCATGATGCAACTGGCAATCAACAGAAGCAGGCTGACAAGAACAGAATTACAAGATATGAAGGAGACATCTATTATGATTGGGAAGGCTATTTTGAATTATATAGTGGCCTGCGTGAGAGAATGCCTTGTTGTCCTCGGTGATATATTCACACCTTTCAGTGACCTGTTCAGGCTTCAGCCAGGGTCAGACTGAAAATGGCCTTGTCCTTCAAAACAAAGAACTGCCATAAGCCCCACAGCCCTGAGCCAGCAGCAATAGAAAAGCTTCTCACAGAGTTGAGTGGTATAATGCCAACCCAGGGCAGCTCAGAGTGCTCACACTGCACCTCTCCCCACCATTATAAAGCCTCATTAACAAGCCTGGGTCCTGTTCCTTACAATCACAGGCTACTTCTTTTCAGCATGATTCCTCTGCCTGCTTTGGCCCTGGTGACTAGGGGAAAAGGCCCTTAATGGTTTTCAGGCTGAGAGAAGTTCTGGAAGGCCCATCATGTCAGCTGTGTTCCCTGCCAACTCCATCCGTCTACTTCCTCCCAGCTCTTACTGCACTTTAGAGCTGACCCTCGGGGGTCTTTGTGTGAGATCATACATGCACAAGCAGGCACACACGCATACACATCTAGCTTTGATTGAATGCTAGCTTCCATCTGTATCAGTAGGCAGTGTGTTGATGATCGGTGCACGGCACGGCTCATGATAAAGGCTAACATGAAGCAGAAGGGCCTGCATAGTGAGAGGAGAAATGTTACAGGGTTAGTTTGGTACAGATACTGTCTGTCTCTATGCTGCAAAAGGGTGATTCAGCCACCTTTAATGTTTGATTATCGGACTTGTTTAAGTTAACTGGTCTTGTTTTTTTTTTTTAGCAGTTTAGATAAAGCTAAATGGCTTTTTTTTTATTTAATTTCATTTTTATTTCATTCATCATTCAGCTCATGGTTTCAGGGGTCTGAATGAGCTTGTACATCCTGTCAGATGGAAACCCTGGTTTTTAGCTGTTTCCTCTCTGCCATTTTGTGGAACCCAGTCCTGCTAAGGCTGCATCCCTAATGATAAACCTCTGTACATTTGTTCTGAGGTGAAATATGATATCTTTGTGCAGAGTTAATCCTTTGCCCCCACCACCATCACCACCACCAAATTGCCTTTCTCTGTTTGTCTTTTGCTTTCTCTTCAATCTGAAGGAATGTATGAATCCCTGCTGCAATGCCACTACCTGCACTCTGAAGGGAGATGCTGTGTGCGCCCATGGACAGTGTTGCCAGGACTGTCAGGTAAGAACTATACTGATTAACCAGCCATGATAGTTATTTTTTCTACAGGCATCTTGACACAAATATATTTTTTCTGATTAACCTAATTCCTAAATCAGCCCCCTTAATGACATTTGGTAGATATTCCTCCAGAGCTCTTTTCAACTCAAAGCATCATTCTGGGTCTTTGTCTTGTTATCTGTTTATATCTGGGTGTAGCTGAAGCCAGCAGGCACTCCATGCCGTGAATCCAGTAACTCCTGTGATCTGCCTGAGTTCTGCACTGGTACCAGCCCTCACTGCCCCTCCAACGTCTACCTGCATGACGGCCACACCTGCCACAACGTGGATGGCTACTGTTATAACGGCATCTGCCAGACACACGAGCAGCAGTGTATCACGCTGTGGGGCCAAGGTATGTGGAAGGCCTCCTTGCTGGCTCGTACTGTCCATGACTGGTTCAGTAATAGCGGCCAGTTTTTTTAAGGTGTTTCATTTTGTGTTTTAGGAGCCAAACCAGCTCCAGGTATCTGCTTTGAAAGAGTAAACTCAGCAGGAGATCCTTATGGCAACTGTGGCAAGGACTCCAAAGGTTCCTTTGCCAAATGTGAAGCAAGGTAAGACCTGACACTCCTATAGAAGAGAATTAATGTATTTAATTGTTTGTCAGTTGTGGAATGTACACTGTAGTTGATCTTGTGTAAAGAAATCATCCTTGACATGAGCTTAACTAACACACATAGCAGGATCCTTTCTATATAACTGCTGTATAACGGACACTAGTGCCCAAACCAGAGGATTCATCAATTAGTTGTTTAAATCGTTTTTAAAAAGCAACAATCCAAATTGATTCCTCATTCTAAATTATAAGAATTTGGTGCACTTTGCTGTTGTATCGAATTGTTTGAGTATTTGCCTGTTGGTTAAATTAAACAATCTATTTAAAATGCTATGTCATTTTATAGACTAAACAATTTGATGGACACATTAAACAAATGGAAATGATAATTACTTCAAACCTTAATTGAGTGTTCCAGAATCATTATAATACAGCAAGTTACAAACTCTTCCAAGTTACGGCCTGAAAACAGCACAAACAAGCTGCCTTCACTGCACTTTCTCTAATTGGACAGCGAGAACGGGAGGAAAAATAATTGCCTGTATACACAAATGGGAAAACAGTGATGGTTATTCAATTATCACATTGTTATTCTCTCTATTGTTTGTTCTGTTTACAGAGATGCTAAATGTGGCAAAATCCAGTGTCAAGGAGGAGCTAACCGCCCAGTAATTGGCACCAACGCTGTTTCCATAGAAACAAATATACCCCTGCAGGAAGGAGGAAGGATACTGTGCCGAGGTACACATGTCTACCTGGGTGATGACATGCCTGATCCCGGCCTGGTACTGACAGGGACCAAGTGTGGAGATGGAACGGTGAGAGCCGAGGCCAGTCACAGATACACATGCAACACACAAATCAATCCAGCATGTAGTACAGCTGACTCATTAGCAGTGATAATTAAGTGCAGTTCTGAGGTCTGTGTACTTTTCTGAAGTACAGTATTTTTTTTATCCTAGAAGGCAAACCCAGGTACACATATGTGTGGTTTTAGTATGGTACATGTAAAAGAGGAAAAGAAAAAAATACATTTTGATAAATATGTAATTCAAAGTTAAGCAACATATTGATGAAGCATAAAAACATAATTGCCCAAATAGTTGGAAGAGTGGAAATGTGGAGTGACAGGTCATGGCTAAGATGTTTTGAAAGTCTCTTCAGGGTGTCTCCTCTTAACTTACCATTATTCAGTCTATCTGACATCTTCCAGTGGTCATTAGTTTAGCCTTTGGTCACTTCAATGACACAGTTCCTCCATTTAGTCTAAGTTACTTCTCTGTGAGCCTCCACCCTTAAAGAGAATCCAGCCTCTGCCCTCATCTGTCAAGGGTTCTGGACAAGCTCATCTTCTCATGCACCCTGGGGCATATTTGGGTGTGGTGCCTTTAAGAAGCAATATTTGTTACAAATCAGATTGAATATATGATCAATTCCAGTCTTCACATACAGTAATTATACTTCATGCTATGCCATTTAATAGCTACAGTGGTTTGACAGTGGCTAATTGTAAATAATAGTTAACTGGTACTGCTTTTCTCTTAAAAAATTAAAGGATCTATAATATTTCTGAAATGCTCTTAGAGCTCACACTGTCAATTTTTGATGTGTTTGTCTTCTTCAGATGTGCCTGAATCGTCAGTGCCAGAACATCAGTGTTTTCGGTGTGCATGAGTGCTCAGCCAAGTGCAGCGGTCGAGGGGTGAGTGCAGCACTTTTCACCCTGGTTTGGTCTTGTACAGAAGAAATAGGATAGCTGTCTATCTCAAACCAAACCCTATGCCCTGTTTAGCTGTTTACGTAATATCCCATTCCTCCCTCATACAGAAGCTCATTATGGCTGTAATATAGGGTGGGTAGGGAGTCACTGCAGTCAGTCATTCTGGATGCTGAAAGCTTCAATCAGTTAAATATAATGGCTTCATTTATGTTCAGCTTTCAGTGTCACTCATCATACTCTCAGGCAGTCCTCTTTGTTCTAAAAAATGTGTTGAAATCTGAAGGCCAGACTTCATTTGGCCAGTGCTGGGAGCAGTGACACACAGCTCGACTTTGAGCTAGGGAGCATGAATATTGGATTTTTCTCAAATGCCTCCCATCAAATGTCTATGGGTGGTCCTGCTTGACATGAAATATATGGCTTTGTGGTATTACCCTCAAATCCACTGGTAGGTCCCAGAAGCTTTGACTGTGACTGACTATGAATGTTGCTCCTTAATCAAGAAACAGCTTTTGCTGTCTCTTAAAATGAAACAAATCCAGTCATTATACAGTCGTATTTGTTTGTCTAGGTCCATTAAAACGTATCTATAAAGCTCCGAGAGCTGCTTTACTCAGTGAAATAAAAGTTTCTCCTCTAGATAAAAAGCAGCCCTGCATGCATAGATAAGATCAAGATGTTGCTTTGTAAAGAGGCCCTCACCTGTTCCATATTACTGCTGGGGAATCCTCTTACACCTTACCAGGCCTGCACTCTGCTGGACAGGAAGACAAACAAGCAAGAGCAACTATAAAATGAAGCACAAGGGTTTTATACCAGAAGTCATTGCTATGTGGAGTCTAGCAGTGCTTTTTGGTAGTTGACAATCACTAGTTGCAATCACTCATTTGCAGCCACATTCATAAGCATTATTCATTTGTCACCTAGTAAGTGCATGTTGTGTGGCAAATGCTAAGATGTAGCTTGAAAAAAACAGTTGATGGCTATATTTTGGGCTCATGCAACAGTTAACTGTCAGTTTAATCCACTGCAGGTGTGCAACAACAACAAGAACTGTCACTGTGAGGCTCACTGGGCGCCTCCATTCTGTGACAAAGTGGGATTTGGAGGGAGTGTGGACAGTGGCCCCATCAGATTAGCAGGTAAGTCAACAGTTGCAAATCAAGTAGATAAGTAGCTGACTTATGGTAGGCATGGAATGTTTGAGTATTTCAACAGTATATCAGTTAATGACAAACTAAATCTGAGGAGTTCCACTGCTGAAAACCAGAGGAAAACAGGAAGTTTTGAAATAGAAAATACTGACATACAAACTTCAAAGAATCCTTAGAAAGTTTGCAGAGAATCTCAGATGAGAGAATGTTAAAAATTCAAAACCAAATCTGCAGAAATGTTGACAGATACAGTCTAAGACTGTGTCCGGTTCAGTTATAGAGGAGCACTGTCTCTGAGATTTCCTGTTATCTCTGTGTGTTTCTAAACAGAGAGTGGGAATCTGACAGTTGGCATCCTGGTGGCTCTCCTCACCGTCCTTGGAGCTGGTCTGATTGTCTGCATCAAGAGAAAAACTCTACTGGCTCTGCTCTTTACCAGTAAAAAGAACCCAATTGAGAAGCTCAGGTGCTTTTTCAGAGCATGATAATCCAATTATTAGTTATTCTTAATGCAGCAGGGTTTGTAAATGGTTAAAAACCTGTGACTGATACTGTCACAAATCGTTACACTATAAAACCTATTACTATGTACAGTATGTTTCCGATTTTGTAATTTGAACTCTCTTATCTAGTGTATGGTTAGAGATGTATCATTTCATCTTTGTATTTCAGATCAGTAAGCACTGCAATCAGTGGACCTTCCTCTACTAACCGGCCTCCATCAGTGAGCACATCGCCATCTCGACTGGCCCCACCTCTGCCACACAGTGCCACCATCTTCAAGGTGACTGGATTCCACAGCTTTCCTTAACAGACCCATTACAGACAGACAGACAGACATCTTTTGCAGATAGATGTTTGCACAGTAACTGACTCCAACAAACAGAGGATCACCAGCAGATGATCCAGGCTGTAATGGAATGCTACAGCTCTGTTGTTGTCGGTCTCAGCAGAATTGACGTGTTGTTGTCACACAAATGGCAGCTCATTCAAATCCAATTAAATCATCCCTCTGTATGTGGACATGTGGAGGAGGTAGTGATAATAGAGTCTGTTGTGAGCCATGTGTTCATGACACTTGAATACATTTCTTGTCATTAACAGCTGCCTGTTAGGAGACAAACTGATTCATATTCACATTTCCCACACGAGGAATCTTGATGCGGCTGCTTACTCGAGATATAAAGTCATCCTGTCAT